TGAATCTGGGACACTGGAACGGAAGAGGCCTGTCAGCATGACAGTCATGGAAGGGGATTTACTGAAGAAGGACAGGTACATTTCCATCTGAGGTTTGGTATTAGCCCACAACTGGGAACTGGACTGCTGAGGAGTTGTGATCAGACACTCTTACTGGTCTCAAGAGGAGAATTTAATGGAAATTCTGTAGGTAACGATAGTGATTTATTTCCCCCCATGTTGTTGCAGCCTGAGGAAGGTTCAAAGGTAAAGTACTGGTATATGCTTCCAGTTCTACTCTGCATGATAAATACCACAAGCAGATAATTACTGCTTCAAATCCCTGTTTTCCTATTACAGATTTGGGGGGTCTAAAATCCACTGGCACGGAAGTGTTTATAGTAGCATCTATCAGTATCTAACTTCTGATATTCCATGGCTTCTTTTCCAAAGCCCATAGCTGAGGTGGTGTTACCTGGTGCCTTCATGATAAGACTTCTGAGTTGATGATGGTACAGTATACCACAGCAAACAGTAGAATGCTAAAAAATAAAACCAGAACGTGCTGTTGTCCCACATAACATGTAGTGTAATGCTCATGTATTACCACTCATATCATAAATATTCAAGTGATGTGCTGTTTTGTTTTTAGCTGTTTATGCAAATGCTAAATTGTTACCTGAATGTTAACTATGGCTGGCCACATGCAAATTTATCAGCACTGACAGAAGAAGAAAATCCATTCAAGATTCACTGTCTTTAACACATCAAGAATGACATTCAGTCCTAGGATGAATGTGCTGTAGCCATTCTAAAATCTGTTAGAACTTTAGTCCATTTATCCATAGTTCTCCTTTAGATGCAAACCATAGGGTGTATTCAGTGGCTTTTTTTGTCTGTCCTGAAATCTGTGCTGCAGCTTTTAGTGTGTAATAGAAACAAAATTCATGTGGCAAAATATATTCAGTGAGGTATGTCAGGAAACGTTTGACCTCATCGTCATCAGTGTCTGTCTTCAAGTGTAACTGAGTAGTTTGTTCTGCTGGTGTTCAGCTCACCCCTCTGTAGCCCAGTAGTGTTGCATGTCTTAACCTTGCCGGTGTCCCAGGCAGGAGGTTGCAGCTTTCCTCGTTGCTGCTTTGCATGCTGAGCAGCAGGGGCTGCCTCTGTCTCTGTGGGTTGTAACATCCATTGTCCTGTTGCTTGAGTGGAGCCGGTGCTGGCTGGCGTGGTGTGTTTACTCTCTCTTCTCTCTGTAGCTTTGGTGTGAAGGTTCTGGACTTCCAGGCGAACCCGCGGCGATGTGGCACTATAACTAGAAAGCACACATCCCCGGCCTTCCAGCCGCCCCTGCCCCCCGGCGAGGCGGGCGCGGGGGCCCAGGCGGGAGCGGAGCCCCATTCCCAGCCCGCTGTGCCTGAAACCAGCCCGGTGGGTGCTGGGTTTGCTCTCTCTGCTGGCACAGCAGAACAGTTGCAAAGTCAAGGAAATGAGGATGTCAGGTAAGAGGCTTGGCTTCTGCTGGCAGTGGCTTGGGCAGGCTGCAGCAGCAGCACTGATGGGTCAGCTCTGGCTGCTTTCCTGGGCACCTCTCCTGCCTGTGGGACCTGCTCAGGCACGGGCAGGTCTCTGCAAGAGCTCTCTTGCCATCTGTATTGTTCTCCAATCTGAAATAACAACATACACTGTTCTGTATGTTCCAGAATCTGTCTTCTAAAATAAGAGATTTTTTGGGGGGAGGGGAAAAATTATGATGAAAAATACTGAGAAGACTTCACTTCTACTTTCTGAGCTTTCCAAGTGACACTCTGGAGGTGCCCACACAGTGTGACCATCAGTTTGCTGCTGGAAGAACAAAACCTGCCAGTGGCAATACTAGAAACCTGTTGGTCTTGTTTGTTGTTAATTGTAAATGTTATCTGGGTTTGTCTCTTGTTTTGTCTGCAGCAAGTGTTACTGATGACCAGACTTACTTTTTAGAAAACTAGAAGTCAATTTATCCTATTTCAGTATTAGTTTCTTTAGAACAAGCATGTTTAGAGGCTTTTTTTTTTTTTGCTACTTAATTACTATTGAAACTCTGCAGTCATGTCCCCAGTATTAGGATACATGGACTCCAAGACTAACGACAGTAGCTGCTATTCTTCCTTTCATGTGTGGTGAAAGCAGCACTTTCAATACTCTGTGGTCTGAGGGAGGTCACAAGCCATGTGTCAAGGCCTGTAGTGCAGACACCAACCTCTTGCATAGCATCTTATGGTAAAACATCTGGTAAAGCTTCCCCTCCATGTAGCTTTTGTTCTCAGGTGGCATTTTTACAAACTCAACTTCTCATTTGGAAATCCCCTGCAGACTAATGTTTCCTCCACAGGTGTGTTTCGTGGCTTAGGCAGCTAAAACAAACCCTGGAGAGTAGAGTCTAAAAGCTGCATTTGAAATCTGCACAAACTCTGCCTTCAAGTACTTGCCATTTATTAATTTATTACCTGGAGAAAAGAGGATTGCAATGTGCCAAAGTGGCTGAAAAGTGTTAGTTCTTGTTAGTTCTCTAGGTACCTGGCAGGGAACTGGGTGTGATGCTGTGACAGAGTATTTTGAAAATTCTGGCAGTTCTAGGGGTGATAGATGGATGTGAGGGAACCAGAGAAGTAATTTCATACCAACCTCCTGTTGGAAGTCTGTTTTCAAAGGGTGTGTTAGCAAGGAGAGGTATCAGTCCTGCATTCAAACAGGCACTGGGACACTGCAGGAATACTTGGATTCCTGGATTAATTTTGGTAATTAATCATTTGCACAGACATGCCTAAAGCCTCCTTGCCACTTGTTCAAAGCATTGTCCCACTGATCAGTCCCTAAATACCAGCCAGTGCAGAAGGTTTTCTGAGGCATCTGAGGGTCAGAACTGTAGCAGTTTGTAACGTACACCTGAGCAGGTGCAGCTGGTCTGGGCAAGGGGGTTTGCAGTCATCTTCTAATTTAGGATTTCTAATTTTCAGTACCTCAAAATCTAAGGACAGCACATCTTCAGCTACTCCTCCTCCCGTGCGGAACGGCGGGCACACAGGCACTGTCCAGAGCCAGCCAGTGAGCAGCACTAATCAGCTTTCTGTTAATCAGCCACAGAATGCAGCAGGTCCCAGTCCCCATGCCATGAGGAGAGGTGTGTTCTTCATTTGCTTTTCAAGTCACTAATTTCCAGTTCTGTATGTACTGCAAAAATGCTTATTAAAATAACTTTATCAGTATCTCTCCCTTTATTCCAGACAAGTATAATTTGCTTACATTTTACCAAGGCCATAGCTATAAATGCAGCTCTGACTTTTGGACTCTTTCACTGTTACCAGCACTGTTTAACAAAGCCACTCAAAGGCTACTCTATTAGTGACCCTGTGTACACATCTCTGTAGCTTCCTATTGATACTACAGCTAAGTGCTTAAGTATTCTTTTGTGCTACTAATTTCTTTCTTTCAGAATTTTGCTTTCACAACAACCAACCATGAAATCTCACTTCTCTCAACAGCTGTTAAGAAGCCTGCACCAGCCCCCCCCAAGCCAACCAACCCACCCCCAGGGCAGCCAGGAAGCCAAAGTTCTGCCCCAGCTGCTCAGCCACCTTCTGTCTCTCCAAAACCACCTGCTAGAAGTTCTTCTCCTCCTGCTCAACATGCAAACCAAGGAGCAGCCCAGACCTCCACTTCCCAGGTTTCTGCACCTCGGAGATATTCCAGCAGCCTTTCCCCAATACAGGCTCCCAGCCACCCACCCCCACAGCCCCCAACACAGGCAACTCCTCCACTGCAACCCAAATCAAACAGTCAAGCATCTCCTCCTGCTGCAGCCAGCAGTGAGCATGGACCAGAGCAGCCTTGTTACACTCCTCCGCAGACTCCAACACCACCCGACACCCCCCCCCTAGGAAAACACAGCATCAGTTCCCCTTCGTCACAGCCACCTGCTCCAGAAGCCCCCCAGTCCCACTCTCCCCCTCAGAGTGGAACGGGGACACTGCCGAGGCCACGGCCGGTACCAAAGCCCCGAAACAGACCCAGTGTTCCCCCTCCTCCTCACCCTCCTGCTCAGCTGGCTGGAGATGCCATCCTTGCAAATCCCACGCAAACAGCTTCCAAAATAGTAACAGGTGAGTGGATGTTTTCATATTCTGTACCTCCTCAGGGAGTGGAAGTGAAGAAAATAATGCCTGTAGCTGTAAACTAATCTGGGGGGAGGTGGGACTGAAAGGCACAAATAACAGCTAAATACTGAGTTGCTGATTTCCAGTTAAAGTGCCCACCCACCTGTTTTGTGCATGAGGATCTGGGGCACTTCCTCAGTGAAGGCTTTCATTCCTGTGGCAGAGGGTTTGGGAGGAGGAAGTGTAGATTAGCTTGCTTTATTTATTTTTTTTTTCCTGCTTTGGAAACAAAACACTATTATAGCAACCATCTCTCTAGGGATTTCTCCAGGCTCAGCATCATGGCACTCTCAATTATATTTATACATCTGTTGCCAAAAAGCAAATATTTGGAGGGTGGAGAAGATGTAGCCAAGGATAGTATATTTCAGCACATAAAGATGAGAAAATGGCAGAAGTGGCCACTGATACATGTTCTAATAGACAAGACAGTGACAGAGAGAATGTGAGAACAAAGTCTTGTGATGTGCTCGTAAGTTGGACATCCAGAAGCTGAAGAATCACCTACACTAAACTGTGTATCTAAGGTCAGTTTCCAGATAGAGCTTCATATTTTAAATGCAATGAAACATTTGTGAAGTAAAGAGAAACTTTCAGTCATCTTACAGGAACTTCATGAAGCTTGTAGTTAGCAGTTTGATAGGGAGAATGTTAATTTAATTCCTGGGGAGAAAAATGTAACTGCTGAGGATAGTCAGAACTAGCAGACCTGGCAATGTCATCCTGCTGAGTCTTTGCTTATTTTAGGAAGTTCTGAAGGAAGAGATAACAAATGTAGGAGGCTAATGCTTTTAAATCTACTTATATTTAATAATAATGAAAACTTTCCAGTGACACTGCAGCTTCTCTAGAATAAGAGTAATGTATTGGAATGCAAAGTATAAATTGTTGCCTAACAGCTTTACCCCCTGATGCCTCCACAGGTGGGGATGGTTACTGCGAATAAGGTTTGTACTTACCAGAAACATGTGATACAAGCTAAGATGCTCCTGCACAGCAATTTTTTTATTTTTAGCTTTATTTTGTATATGCGCTTTGGAACATGTGCTGTCAACTCTGTTAGCTCATTCCCAGCTCTCATTCTGTTTGTGAGAGGTTTTAAGACCTACGCTGCTTAATTTTAAAAGTCCTGTGAACATTAAATTATTCCTTAAAACAAATAGTAAAAATAACTGTAATGAAGCAAGTAACACTTCACACAAAGTCACCAGGGTTTAGTCCACAAGTCAAGTGAAGCAGTGACCCATTTAAAGCAGGTTTGGTCTCATCATTGCAGGCAAATATTGAAGCTCATGTTTTTTCCCTACAATTTAGTGTTTTGTGGTTGCATTTTAATACAGCTTTCACTTTAGGTTTCAGTTATTTTTAACTACTTGGAATTTATTTGGCAAATTACATGTTCATGTGACTAAACCCCTTTTCAGAAAAGCACCCAGCAGCATCTGCATTCTGGCATGTTTGCATTTGCATTCTGTCAGCTACAGCCTCACTAATAATACTGGTCTGTTCAGTCACAGCTGCCAAAAGACACATTAATAATCTTATTACTCATTTGTAATGAGAAAAGGTAACAACTGCATGACAGGCTGAAAAAGTTGAGGCTGCATTCCTGAATTATCTCAAAATTTGACTGCTTACAGGAAAGATACTGCAATTAGTGTTGGATTGAGAAGTCAAGTTGGAAGTTTGGGGTTTGTTTTTTTGTTTGGTTTTGTGTTTTGTTTTGTTTTTTTAATTGGAACAACTAGCAGTAAATGAGCTGCCTAAGCAACTGAAAAAGTAGCTTTGCTTTTTAGAACAACAGACTTTTCCTGGTTGTACTTCTGTTTGTTTTTTCAGAATCTTTAAAATACAAGGGCAATTACTTTCAAAAGTGAATTAAAAAATAAGCAGCACTTCGAAATAAGTTAGGAGTGGGAACAGTGCTGATGAATCACTGTCAGGGAAAGACATATGTGTAATTTCTAAGTCATGTTGCATAGGTTGGCCACGTTTGTTTTCATTTTGGAGTTTTTCTCATTTGGAGGGAATTGCTTTAGCAGACAAGTAGGATTTGTTTCACCCCAGGGTAACTGGGGAAATACCTTCTCAGTAAGATCCAGCTGGAGAACAGGGGCTGCTTCCCTAGGGGGGAGAGCAAAGAACCTGCCCTAGGGAGCAACTGGCCCAGCTGAGGCTGGATATAGACTGGGAATTAAACCTGGAGCTGGCTCCTTTTCAGCCAAGTGACAGGCATAACAGGAGCACAACTGTCCTGTAGTCTGGGTAGATGTATAAAAAGAATTTAAGTCGATGGTGTTGAGATCAAAGTGTTAAAACTGGATAATTTAAATCCTTTCAAGTGCAAAATGTAGCAAATTGGCCATGGAAGTTGTGTATTGTTAAAAATCAGTATGAAAGGGAAGCCAATAGAGGAAAGCTGATGATGAAGGTTTATTTAGAAAGACTGGTAAAGGAACCCAGAAAATCTACTATGTTTTGTAAAAAAACCGTCTGGGGGGGCAGCTGAAGTGATACTCAGGCTTCCCTACAGCAGCACACTCAGCACAGGATCATCCACCTTTTTCAGATCAATCTTTTTTTCAAGGATTAATATTTATTCTCAATTAACACCACTGCATATTACATAAGAGTACCTGCTCTAACATTTACACATGCACATATGAGCACTTATTATAGACTGACTTACCTAATTCACAGTTTGAAATAATTGTTTTAATTTTAACCTTAAATAGTGGAGCGAGGGAAGAGGGGGATGATGGAAGCCAAAATGAAGTTGCCAACAAACTTCACAATAACAGAACAAGAATTCTGAATTGTTCTCAGGTTACTGCTGAATTCCTTTGTCCATGTACTGGACTTTAGTAATGCCTCAAATTCTGTTTATGGTGTGAGAGTAATAAGCCCTAGAAAAGAATATTCTAATCAAAAATTTTATTAAACAATCTAGATGTTTGACCTGCATTCAGTAGGAACAGTATTGGAAAGTTCAATGGTAAGGAAAAGGCATATGATTGGCCAAAAATGTTGCTAATTCATAATCATGTGTATGCTAATGCCCACTACTAACCTGTCACAAATAACACTGCTTGCTTGATTCTCGTTAGCCTGGCATGCAAAAAGAATGGCTGGTTGATGCTCACTCTTCAATTAACATACTAAAAGCATTGGAGACTAGAATGTGTACAGTTCATGTTTTGACTGCCCAGTTTCACATTGTACCTTTTCCACATACAGGAAATCCTACCTCTAAATGTGTGTGTTAGACAGAGTTTCACTTCAGTGCAGCTGTGTTCTTTGTCACCAATCCCCCTTTCCTGTGTCCCCTCACACTTTACCTCCTTTTCCAATTCATCCTTCAATATGCAGTCGTGGTCAGGAGAGCTCCCATGAAGTTGGAGAACAAACCTTCTGCCCCATCAGTGAAGGAGGGGGACAGGGACAGGCCCTGCCTCTGCCACTTGCTGCTCAGCTCTGCTGAGGATGAGCTTGGGCTGGAATGTTTGCAGTCAGGGAAAAACGCAAGAAGAACCTGGGAGCTCTCACAGCTGCAGGGTGTTCTTTTATGTAATACTGCTGCTGTTACCAATAGGGAAAATGACTGAAAATGATCTCAAGGTTAAACCTACCGACATCAATCCACCTGTTGTAGGCTCAGCAGTTCCACAGTACAGTGAGGAGAAAGGAGAGCTGCTGATGCTGTTAAACTTGTTTTCATGAATCAAGGACTTACTTTAAATGCATGACTGTGAGGCTAAGTGAAAAGGGTTGGTTTTATAGTAGCCCCAGTAATTACTTCTCTGTTGCTGTCACAGGGCTATTGAACAGCCATGGTCCTGCAGGTGCCACCAGGCTCCCTGGGCACAGCCCCTGCCAGTGAGGGCTGGGGAGAGAAGCCCATTGAAAAGATTCCCCAGATGATGGTGTTTAATGAGCCCTGACAGTACTGAGGGGTTGTTCTGTGCCCTCTGGATGAGTTCACCTGCCACTGCAATGCTGTTGGAGCAGAATGTGGTGTTCCCCAAGATTCTGGTGCAAGACTGGGGAGAAAATGTAGAGTTCACACCTCACAAGAAACCACTAATCCTGGAATCACGTTTTTGGGAGGGTTGCAGTAATGTGGATGTGAGCACCAAGCTGTTTGGTCAGTGTCAGGCCACGAGAGGATGGAGCTGAGCCACTACTTTGGCAGTGGCTCTGGGCACAAGCTGCCAGCACGGGGTGTGCAGGGAGAGTCTGCACTGGACCCCATTTCTGTGTCTGCTTTCACCTCTTCTGTGACATTTAGCTCAGAAACTTGCAACTTCAACATTTATGCAGTAAGGCATGTTGAGGCATATTATAAGTGAGCTTTCCAAAATAGTGACTTCAGTTACTTTTTTTTTTGACTGTTGTGAATTTCTCTGGTTTTCTAACTACCAGTCAGTCACCAGAAGTGCAGCATTTTTAGGTCCTCCTGGGGCACGTTGGCATGAACAGAATTCTCATGCCCTCATGAGAGGCAAAGAACACAGTGTTTCCTGTTACACACAGGAAATGGGTGTCATCTGCATTTGGTTTAAATAATTTCTTCCTCTCTTGACAGTGCCTCCTTTTGACACGGTACATGCTCCTTTGGCTTTTCAAAGCCATAGGTGGTGGTTACCTGGCTGATGATTTAGCTGTCAGATTTTTTTTACTGAATGACCTTTTGGTGTGGAAGTCTGGAGAAACGTAGCACTCTTAAGGGAAACTGAGGAATCTGATAGTAATTTGTACTTGCTGTCTTCCTTTCTTCAGAAAGAAAAGGTTTTCTTTTATTATATACAAGCCTAAAAAAAGGTGTGTAGGAGAAGCAACTCAAACATAAGCTCTCTGGTTTGGCTTAGCCTGTTTGTGTCCATGTGTGCACGTGCACATACATGCCAGCCCTCTGTTTGAAAAGCCTTTGTTGAGCTTTCCTTTCCCTTTCCTTTCTAAGGAAATGCCCCAGAAATGCCCTAGTGAATGTCACTGTCAGGCTGCTAAACCTGCTCTTCCCTTTTTTGTGCAGACTCCAATTCCAGTATTCAAGAACCACTTCAAACCCCTTCTTCAGAGCCTCTCCCAGAGCCAGCCAGCAGAGAACTGCACAACCACCTCCTGCTTGACATTGACAATGACACAGAAAGCACTGCTCTGTAGTGGAAACTCTCCAGCTTCCTACAGGTTCCTCTCCTGGTGGGAAAACTAACAGACCTAACAGTGAAAAGCTTCTTTTGACGATGTGGCAGGACTGTGTAGAGCTGTGACTTGTGCATCGCAGAGAAAGTGATCTGGCCATTCAGAAGAAGTTTAATGATCTGTGTCTCAACAATGGTTTTCAAAATCTTTGATGGAAGGAATTAATTACTGCAGAAACTTGCATAGGAAGCATAATTGCTGCTAATGCAGACGGTATTAGCAGAAATTCCAAAAGAGTAAGAAGCAGAACATTAGTTATTTAAAGTGCATGTACTATGGAAGTAATCTTTTTAATGTCACGGTTAGACTTTATTTCTAGTTCTTAGACATTACAAGGAGATGCAAGAGACATTCCCTCACTGATTTGCTGCAGATTCTTTTTAAAACATGAACCAAAAAATGCCAGAGTGCTGGTGGTGACTGCTGGTTATCAGTCACCTTGTCAAAACTGTGGATGTATTCTAGTGCCTTGAAGGACTGTCATACTGTAGAAGGAAACTTACTGTCTCTTTAATCATTTCATTGCTACTTAATTATCAGTACTTAATACTTATTTCATAGTTATTTGTATTAACCAAGCCTGCTTTTGTTTATGTGAAACTTGCAACTGTTTCAAGATGAAGCTGTGGAAGTGTCTTTGCTGCTTTCATTGAAAACGGTTGAATTTTGAAAGAACCTTGAAACAGCTGTTTGGATTCGTCAGTTGGGTGAACATTTATAAAATTAAAGATTGTCTTTTGTCAACTCAAGGCATCTTTATTCAAGTTTGTGAGTAACATTGCTTCTCAGGGGCATGGGAGGCTGCACAGTCATTCCCTGTTTGTAGCTCATGTTACTGGCTGTTCAGCTTGTTCTGCTTTTGAGGACTGCAGGGGATGCCTGCTGGGAATGAGTGCATTTGGATGTGCAGCTTTCCTGCAGAACACAGGTGAGTCCAGCTGCAAAGAGGAATGCTGGATACAGCCTGGATCATGGAGAGAAGTAAGATGGAACGGGCCATACTATTTCTGCCAATGAGAGGGAGAGGAAACAAATCACTCAGGTAACATTTATGTAACTAGTTCAAATAACTTAAATTATAAATTCCTTAATACTCTATAATACCTTTTAATCAAGTTACTAAACTAGGCCTCAGGCTTAACTACAAAATAAAACTGCATTTCATAAATGTCTTGCCAAGAAGCATTGCACTTGGTGACATGATATTTTAGCTGTTACCTCATTGATGCCCTAAGTTGAAATGCCAGTGGCTGCCCAGTTGTTTTGTGTTCTGACACCTCTTAACAGGGAAGATGACCCTGTTAGTGGAACCTGCTTTCCTCTGTTACTACTCTAGTGCTGTCACAAACTCATGTAACTCTTTAAGTTTAGTGTTAGAAGCCCAAAGTTCTAATTCTGTTACTAAATTTGACATTTATCTCAAACTGTGTGGAGTGTACCTGAATCCAGGACAGGCTGTGAAGGACTTAAATAAGTTCTCAGAAAATCATCTGGGCTGGCACCTGCTTCAGCATCACACAGACAGTTAATTGTCTGTGCTGGGATGAGCAGCTCGGGTCCCACAGTGTGTGCACTCCCACTGGTATCCTCACTGTCATCCTGGGCAATACACAGCAGATTTCAGGCTGTTAGAATGAGCACAGGGCTATGGCACAGTTAAAAGTTCTGGAAACTTGCCCTTCTCTGCCCACAGCTGATCCTTTCTTCCCAGGAGTGAGTGCAGGGCAATGGGCAGGGGGAGGAGCACTAAGTAATCAGCCTCAGGAGGGACTTCACCTGGTTGCCTCCAGGTTGGTGCAGTTGGTGAGTTCACTCGAATGGCTGCACAAAAGAACCCTGCCGAGGACTGGAAAGAAACCTGGAATAATGAGGTTTGTAAGGCTTTACTGTTGCTCCTGGGTGTCCTCTGGGGGTGTGTGCTTGTAAATTGCCTGGAGGGCAAGTGCAGCTGTTTGCTGGGGGGGCTTCTGGGGCTAAATTAGGTACATTTCTTACAGCCCAGTTATTTGTTTACCTCAGACCTTTGAATATAGGCTGCCAGCTTGAGCAGGAAGGTGAGGCACTCTGCCACCACCTCTTCTGTGGGCTGTGATTCTGTCCAGCCTCGTGGACTTGGCATGGGAGTCGTCGATGTTGCCACGTACCAGTCTGGGAACAGCCTGGTGGGGATGTCAGGGGACACCACTAGCTGCCGAGGACTGGAAAGAAACCTGGAATAATGAGGTTTGTAAGGCTTTACTGTTGCTTCTGGGTGTCCTGTGGGGGTGTGTGCTTATAAATTGCCTGCAGGGCAAGTGCAGCTGTTTGCTGGGGGGGCTTCTGGGGCTAAATTAGGTACATTTCTTACAGCCCAGTTATTTGTTTACCTCAGACCTTTGAATATAGGCTGCCAGCTTGAGCAGGAAGGTGAGGCACTCTGCCACCACCTCTTCTGTGGGCTGTGATTCTGTCCAGCCTCGTGGACTTGGCATGGGAGTCGTCGATGTTGCCACGTACCAGTCTGGGAACAGCCTGGTGGGGATGTCGTGGGACACCACTAGAACTTTAATTTCCTGGAGTAAAGCACTGCAGGGAAAGAGAGTGAGTTCCATCCTAAAGTGGAGCAGGAAGGTTTTATGAGATGGTGGAATTTTGTAAACTATGCAGTGAGTTGTTTGCATTCCTAGAGCTATGCTGGAAGTAGGGATTTAATAAGGAAATGCAGGAGTGTGATGGTAGCTTGGTTTGATAGGAATTCCATTCACAGCAAGGAATATGATGCAGTTTTCAGGAACCTGGTTTTTAGTGAACTAATTTGGGGCCCTAGAGAAACAAGGAGATTAAAGTAAAGACTGGCTGAACTCTGTGGGACTGGTTGGGCAGTGTTGAAAGGACAAACAGGCTGGGAGGCAGTGACTAATGCTCTAAAGGTAATTTCTGGAATTCCAGTACATACATCTGCAAATGTTTACAAAGCAGGGTACAGAAACAATACAGCAGATTCCTGAGGAAGGAATGTTCCTATTTTCTGAAGCCTGTGAAGGCTGTTGACAGTTGAACTTCTGGTGTCTTGAGGATGGACCCCAATGCACAGGGCTGGGCAAGAGCCTGGTGACAACTATCATCTTGGCTGGAAAATGTCAGCTCCCCTTTTGGTCAACAGGTATCCAGGGGAAAATAAAAGGTTGGTGTCAGTGTAGCTAACGTTCAGTTTAACCTTAGGGAAGCATTCTACCACTTTGTCTAAAATCTTGTTTCATCTAAGTGGTATCAGACACTTACCTATGGCCTTGATTTTGGATGGAAGCTAAATCTTGGATGATGAGATGGATTGTGCTCGTGCAAGACTGCAGAGGAAAGGGCAGAGTTGTGATAGAATTGCATATTACAAACTAATTTGTAAAAATAATTAATCAGCTGCCCCACATGGAGTTTCCCTTTGAGTCACAAGTGCTGAGGACGACACACGTGGTTCCTGTTCTGTCTGACAGGACCTGCCAGCTACATCTGTCAGAATAACCCTCTGGGGGAGATATCTGAAGTGCTGGGTGGAGCAAATCCCAGAGGTGAGCTGTGGAACCCACCAGGGTGTAATTCAGGTCTTAAAGCCTGTGGATGGAGTCAGAGGCAGTGATACCTTTGTAGTTCGCAAGCTCTTAGAAGCCAAATTTGTACAAAGATGAATCAAGGTTGCTTGATCCCACTAGGAATTTAGGTAACTTACCTCTACTACATGACACATATAGCTGGGACAAACAAGTAGCAGACCTGAGACTGGTTCTCTTGGGTGGTCTTCTAAGCCATTTTCAAACAATTCTCTGTAATAACCTTGTTTCAAAAGAAAAACTGGCAGTTTGTCAAATGGTTTGTGGCAACGGTTGCTGCAGTCAGTGTTGTGTGGGCTGTGCTGGGTTCCCTCTGCTGCTGCAGGCACCAGAGGCACAGGCTCTGCTTGTGTTATTGAGAAGGAACACCAAAGTATCTCTGCCATGGGAGTCTCTTCGACAGGCACCCCTGCCCTTCTCGTTCGCTCCTAACGCTGCCCCCAAACCAGCAGCTGAAGCCTCAAACCCCTAGTAGCGTTTGTTTAAAAACGTAGTTACATCTTTGTTGCTGTAGATACAGCGGTGGAAGCCTCCCCTGCGCTGGGCCTCGGCAGGAGCTGATACAGGTGTTTAGAGACACCGGTTGCCTTGGCGGGGGCAGATGTGCCGGCAGCTGCTGCAGGCACCGGCAGCTGCACCCAGAGGGTCTCTGTCCCCCTCGGGGCCCCCAGCACTTGTGTTTTATTTGCTCGGGAAGGACTCCTAAGTGACAAATCTCTTTATACAGTTTAAAACCAGCCTGTCCTTACGCCAAGGGCTCCTGCGCGGCGCGCGCTGCCCCCCCCCCCCCGCAGGGGCCGTTTGCGGGTTTGGGCTCCGGGGGGGCGAGAACCGCGACCCCGCAGGAT